AGAGAGAGAGAGAGAGAGAGAGAGAGAAGAAAAAGAAAAAAGTTTCAGAAACGAGTGAAAAGTAAGCGAAACGCGAGGAAGTTAACAGCGCTCGTCAAGCATAAAGCTTTTTCACCTTATCGACTTGACTTCTAGCAGTCAATGCGTGCTTGCCGCATGAACCTTTCAAGCAACCATAGAATATTATTTCTAGAACCGTGAGTATATCGTTCTTATTTATCGGGACGAAAATTCAGGGATCGTAAAGTTCGAGCGTTAAATTGACTTTCATAGAACGTTCAACTTCCAAGAATATTCGGGATCGATCGAATTTCCCCGTGTCGGATATTTCTTTCCTATTCTTGGGATATTCTTTTACGTTTACCACCGAGACTTTGGGATTTCTACGGTAAACATTTCACTTACGGTGTAAGTACATAAGCGAGCGATCTCTCTGCTTCTTTTCACGCGAATAGAAACTCATTTATTCGTCAGGGAAATTAATAATTTCATTTTTCTCACTTCAGGCTTAGACAAAAAGTGTTCGAGGCAAAAGATTTATCTTTGTAGAAAGATTTGAAAATGTTCAAAGGATGAAATAAGTGAGGATGATCCTTCGTTTTTGAAATGGCAGATACGGGGCTGAGAGGCATGTCTCCTCGATTTCAGTGGCTACCTTTCGCTGTCGTCGCTTCGACCTCCTTTTCCCTCGATTTGGCAGTGGAAGATGGAACGATGAAACGCTGGTGAAAACGGCTGCAGCAAACGAGCGCTATCGTGATTTGTGGCTCGCTTATTCCGGCTGATCGTCGATTTATTTCTGTGCGCCGCGTTTCCTGTTAAAACGTGGGTGAGAAGCGATAGCGTCAAATAGATGTAAGTCACCATGATTTTTGAATTAATTTTCAAACGTTAGAATTCTTTAATATCTCGACATTAACATATTTATCATACTTTTTTCTGCCATCTTCGCGTATTATTTTCATTTCATTCCTTGTCGCTTGTTACGATCTTAGCTACGTCTCCGTTACCTATGTTCTTTGAGTCGTTTTCGTTTATTGTTTCACATTCTTATTCCTTCTCCAGCTGCATCCCTCGTCATCGTTAAACGATATTCTTATCCACAACACGCCAATCTTCATCTCCATAACATTTCCGTCTATGATAGCCCATGTCATACATTTCTCCGAAACTAAGGAACAAAAGAGCCGACGTACATTTTCCCTTCTGTGCGCATTGTTCTTCCACTTCCGCTGATTGCCGTCAAACCGTTCGTCCCGCCCTCGCGCAAAGAACTTCTCGGTCGAAACGTTGGATTTCATCTGCTCGTGGAGAAGAAAAGAACAGCGGCGCTCGTGTAGTCGCCTTTATCTCAGTATTCGCGGAAAATCGTAACATTTTCGGCGGAAACCCGGGGGGGAATCTTTGAACCATCGTCGTTTGAAGAAGAACACATCGAACGCGCGTCACACGCGCGCCACGCACAGAGGAAGGCTCGAGCGTTTAACAATTCCCCTTTTGTTCGGTATCTCTTTATTTCGCCAGGATGGCGGATAATCGGCGAGACTGCGTCGGCGATTGGGACGAGAGGCAATCCTTCGTTTTCATTTTCGCGCATTCGCCGACTAGACTAGACTAGGAGGTGGGGGAGTATTAAAAAAACCCTCTGTCGAGTTTTTGATATCCAGGCGAATCGTTGCGTGGCTCGCGATAAAAAGAATCGGGAGGATCGAGAGCGAAAAAATTCACGGGGGAGAAACGAGCCTCTTTTAAGCGCCAACGGACGAGGTGAATGTAAAAAGCGACAGAGAGAAACGAAATGGATTCTTCCTTTTTATTCGGCTCGCGTTCGCCTTTCGAATTAATCGGCGAAAATACAATTCGAAAATACCGATCGTTTGATTATCAGCTTGTCTCGAATCTCAAAGAGATTCTCCTTTTTCCCCCCCCCCCCTTTCTTTTCTTTCTTTCGTTCTTTCTTTCCTCTTTGAACTTGCAACGTTCTTCTCTCCCCGCGTGGTTCATTGTGCGCAAATTGACAAGAGCTTAGGCAACTGCCCGGTGGCAAAATCCAGAGCGGTAGCACGCAGCAGTGATGATTTAATCTCTATTACCATAATAGCGAATAATTTTCTGGCCGGCCGCTAATTATTAATTACGCACGTCCGCGTGCTATC